ATGTGATGCATGTGCATTTGTGTGTGTGTGTGTGTGTGTGTGTGTGTGCTTGTGTGTGCGTGTGTGTGTGTGAGAGAGAGAGAGAGAGAGAAAGAGTAAACGGGTGCAACTCTGGTTTAGGTGAAAAAAGTACTCAGACATTGTACTTAAGTTAAAATACATACTATGTCAAAAATAAAGAAGTATTCACATTTAATTGTACTTAGCTATTTATAAGTAAACACTTTTCTTAGCTTTTGAAACAACTTTTGAAAATAGGAGAGCGATCTTAGAGATATTCTCATTTTAGTATTTTTGACGCAAAAACTTTGTAAAGAAACATGTCAACAATCATTATTTTCTCATTGTTCTGTGTAGGACTCTAAGAGACAGCAGATGTTCATCTAGAACAACATCCTGAAATGTTACCTGAATATTTTCAACTTAAATTAGCAGCAGGTGATTTTACAGAGGTTTGATTTGAATGTATTACGGCTGTTATGAAGTGTGAAGAGTTCAGCCATCTACAACGATGGATATTATATTAAACATATTAGGCCTACTATAGTCTGTTCACCCAAAAATGAACATTCTGTCATCATTTACTCAGTATTGTCTTTCAATGCCTGAATGACATTCTTCACCAGAACACAAAAGGAGTTGTTTACAGCAGAATGTCCAAACCGCTCTTCTGTATAATGAGAGTGAATGAAACCATGGCTGTCAAGCTGGATTTTAAAAGTAAGTGACAACATACATTTCTCTCACATGGCTTTGGAAGACTTGGAATACAGTACATAACTTGTATGAACTACTTTTATGATGATTTCATGCAGATGTGGTATAATTCATGATTCATGCTATGATGCTTTTTTTTTTGTCATTTTTGGAACTTGAACCTCCTGGTCCCCATCCATTTTCATGATGGTCGGGAAAAGCATTTACACCCTTCAGAATGTCTCCTTTTGTGATCCAGTGAAGAAAGTCATGCAGATCTGGAATGACGATGTTGGGAAAATTGAAAAAAAAAAATTCAGTGAACTGTGAAAAATGCTTCCTTGTTAGCACTAAATTACAATTCATTGACTGTTTAAACAAAAGGAAAGTTTAATTGATGCGAGCATGATTGATTGGCTTTTTGGTCACATTAGGATAAATAAAAATTATATTTATATTTTTTAATTATTGAGGAAACATTTATTCAATTTTAAAAGATTTTCACACTTTTAGAAAAAAATCACAAATTACATCAGTACTTTGTAATTTTAAGTCTACATATAATTGTAATAGAGTACAAAAAGGATTTTTTTTCCCCATGTAAATGTAATTGAGTCAAAGTATGTAATCAGTTTTAACAGAACACAAGTAAAGTACAGATTCTCCAAAGTAATACTTCAGTATAGTAGTGCTATTACTATCAGTCATGCTAGTAGTGCTAATGCTATTACTCAAATACTTCGCACATATCCACATGTCAAATTACTGCTGTTTCTCATTCAAGGCCTGTCTCACAACCTTTAAGATGATATCATTGGGATCTTCAGTGGAGATGTGTGTGTTTCCCTTTTCATCACAGAATTTATCAAATTGTGAGCTATACAGTGATTTGAGGACAAGCTTTAAAAAGCTTACACCCACATCGCACCAAAAGCATGGACCATGAAGCCAGCTGAGCTGAACGAATAAAGTGTTACAGGATTGCTTTCAGTTTGATGAAACCAATAATGCACGAGCATGTGCTCATGTACAGTGAGTTGGATGTTTGCTGCCAGTCGCATGAAAATAATTATATCCAAACAGCAAAACAAACTCAGACCGTAGTTTGAAGTCCTCAGTGACCATCAGTGACTGGAGGATATCAAACGTTGAGGAAAAGTCCTTACCAAAACACCAGGATCATGTGGTTGAAACTTGTCACTTTATTGTATAAACATTGGAGATTACATATCAGGGGTATGAGTACATGATGCTTTTGTTTGTTTCTTTATAATTAATTATTATGTGAACTCAATACAGTCTAATTTCTTAAATTCAAACAATCAAGAGGTTCACAACATTTATCCTTGTTTTAACCTCATGTTAGGCTTTTTAATTCACCTCAAAAGACTAAGATCACTTCAGTACACCTGCCACTGATTTGGACACAAACTCTGGTTCAAAATGCTCTGTAATGGATTATTAACGTAACTGGTCACACTTTATATTAAGTGGCCTTAACTACTATGTACTTACATAAAAAATAAGTACAATGTACTTATTGTGTTCATATTGTATTGCAAAACACATTTGCTGCTATTGAGGTGGGATAGGTTGGAAGGTTAGGGACAGGTTTGGTAGGTTTAATGGTGGGTTAAGGTGTAAGAAGATGGGTCAAAAGTGTAATTATAAATGTAATTACAGAAATTAATTACAGATGTAACTACATATAGGTATTTTTAAAAATATAAGTACAATGTAAAAACATGTATGTACACAGTAAGTGCATTGTATCAAATGAATTTAATTTAAATGTGAGTACATAGTAGTTAAGGCCACCTAATATAAAGTGGGACCACGTAACTAACAGATAGACATTCTGTCCAACTGGGAATTCACATGGACTCAAATTCATCTAATGCGCTGTTTGGTGTTTCCTTGTCGGATTTGCCGTAAGGTCTTGTATTTGTCCCTCCCTAACCTCACGTTCTCGGCGTGGATCAGATCATTTGCAGTTTTCTTGCTTTCGTCACGAGTATCTGCCAGCTCAGAGCTCAGAGCCTGCAAAGACATAAACAAATTGTCACGGAATGCCAGGAGAGACAAGGTAAGTTCCAAGTGCAGTTTATTGAAAGTAACTCAAGTGGCCAGTCCAGGTCACCACAACCAGACACTGTGACATAAATCATACTATCATTTCAGTGGGACTGATATCATTATTTGCTCTTTGGAATTTCTATTTGTATCTTGTATACTGAAGGAGTAATTGCAATTCATTTTCGTTACCTAGATAAGGCTACAAAAATATGTAATGAGGTTATGCTGCAAATATTTGGCAGATTCATGATTTTTTTTTTACAATCTGCTCTCGCAAAACAATAAACATTGCACTCCTGCAGATAACACAGCAGATTAAATCAAGAATATCCAATGATTTATCAAATTATTTTACCGTTTCTCGTATTTTTCTTTTCCTAAAATGAGTTCTTTACAACTTTTTCTCCTCTTTTCTTCACTTGTAATCTCTATGAATTCTCATTTTCTTTACTAACGGGCCACAAGAAATGAACAAAAGCATTTTGAATGATCCATCAATGTTTTTATAATTAAGTAATTTGACAGAATTGTTTTAGTTAATAAAACCTCTCAAGTAATATGTAAGTGGTGATTTGCGTCAGATTTGTACCCACTGGAATGTATTGGTTTGCAATGTAAATGCAAATTGATACATTTTGCAGAGGCCATGGATTTTATGAAAGCAGTGTATTGTGAACCAAATGTTCAGAGATGCCAATCATTTCTTTAGTTTTATTTTTGGCCTGTTTGTCAAACGGATTTGTCAAATGGCTCGAGCAGGATTTGAACTTGTGCTGCCCACATACACTTATGAACTGATGAGTTGAATCAGCTGTATTTGATTAGGAAGACATACAAAATGTGCAGTGTTAAGAAGCTCTTGGAAAAGGTTTTAAAAACTAGGCCATGGCAACGACAACTCTTTTTTTATAAACATGATGACTGTGTCTTATATTCACCTGTAGGCGCTTCTGCAGACGTTCATTCTTTTCCGTTTCTGTTATGCGCTGCTCTTCACTGCGGTCTCGATATGTTCCAGTGGATGTGAGCTCAGCGCTGGCCTTGGCACTGCTCTCATCATTTTCATCATGGTCATTCTCCGTCTGGGACATTGCCTGGATGTGGACCCCAATTAGCTTACTCTTCAAATCCTCTTTTGTCTTCTCCAGGTCTACCTCAACCATAATTGCCTGCCAAGATATTCATACTGAGACTGCTAATGTCTTTGTCTGAGGCTAACTGTATGAAACAGATGCAACAGATACATTTACACTCTCACCCTTCTCTGCCATTTCCTGGCTTCATCCTCTTTCTTCTTTTTGGCATTTTCCAAAAGAGTGATCTTGGATGTCAGCTCGGCCAACTCTGTTGCCTTTAGATATAAATGTTAATTCCATGTAAATAAAACAGAGTGTTTCAGGCAGAGGGTGAAAAGTGGTACTACAGAAATGTACAGTATGAGAAAAACTTTAAATAATGTTAATGTATCTAGGTGACTACTAAATAAAACAATTAACTTGTGAATGGGCACAATATGGGCACATTAAGACTGAAAGTTGGGAGTGGACATTATCCACCCCCACTGTATGCAAAAGAGCACAGTGTACATACTTCTTAATTTCTCCTTTAGAGAAAAGAAAAATAGTAATATGTGTTTGGAATGTCATTATAGTGAGTAATGACAGAATTTTGTCATTCTGAATGATAATATCTTTGTTTCTCAAGAAGAAAGAAATGCGCACATGTTTGGAATGATGTGAGGGTGAGTAAATGAACTATGTAGGATCATAATGTATCTCTAAAAGGTTTTGAGTACTTATGCTTTAATACCAGATTCTCCTCGTTCTTCAATAAACTTTTCGGAAAAGTAAAATATGATAGAAATATTTAAGGTGTCTCCGTTTGAGCATCCAGCCTTTCACAGCAACAATGTATCAACCAATAGCTTCAGCGTGTGGCGGGACTATGTGACCAATTGCAGACAGGTGGTGTATTTAGGAAACCTATTCAAGAACAGCCACTATTTTTTTTTCCAATTCTATTTGGTAACGTTAGTTGAGAGGAAATTACACACTTTATCAAACCCATAAACTATTAATGTGACATTTGTACTAATAGGTAGACATTTGTAGTTCCAACCCTCTTGAGCTTTTTTGGTCTGCTCTTCAATTTGTCGAAGTCTTTCCATGAGCTCCATCGTCTCTCTTGCAATCTTCTCAGTTTCTTTTTCTGCATTTTCTCTTCTTTTTTTCTCATTTTCCAGAAGTGCTCTAAAATAAAAATGCATTAAAAACATAGTCACCACTAGAAGAACATTATGCTCTGTTTCAAAATCTAATGAGCTGTCTTTTTCTAAAAATTATTTTACGTCAAATACAAATATTGACGTATTTGAACCAGCATAATATATGTAAATGAGACATTCCTTTTCATAGGTTGACTCAATGCTGTGTAGTAGGCAGGTAGCTTCTATATATTTAGCTCCTGTCGCTCCTTCTATGGTTCAAAAAGAAACATTTGGCAGAAATTCCCACACTGTTAAATGAACTGAAAGAGAGAGAGTTTTGATCAACCAAGCTACCATTTGGACCCATATGAAAAGATGTAATCGCCTGACAGTGTAAAATTACACATATTTTTTATCTTCCTGCAATGTCTGGTTGTGGCTTGCATCAAGTTCAAGACACTGATGCTTGCATACAGAACAGCCACATACTCCATACCCTCCTATTCTACTCACTATTATGAGTCTACATCCCTTGCAGAAGCCTGGGGTCAGTAAGTGTGCAACCATCACATGTGATGATACCTTGTGGTATCATCACAGAGAGGCACAGATTCACTTTCCAACATTTTCATTCGCTGTTCCTTGCTGGTGGGATGATCTTCCCACCCTCATCTGGAATGCCAAATCCCTGACAACATTTAAGAGACAGCTGAAAACTCATCTCTTCCGTGAGCACTTAACCTGTTCCAGCGTGTACTATTCTTAATAGTGTCTGAAACTTTGTATTATGAGCACTTCTTGCAATTTATTTGTCCCTTACTATAAATCACTTGTTGTATTCCTCATTTGTTAGTCACTTTGGATAAAAGTGTCTGCTTAATGAATTAATGCAAATGTATTTATTTATTTAAAAAAGTAAGAAGTTATAAGTAACCAAGATTCTATGAATAAGATCAACAGGCTACCACATAGGACAGCCCCGCTAGAGGGCTAGCTGTCAGGAGATGGTATATCAAATTAAACGTACTCCACCTGTGTGCAATCATAATCTATAAATATAGGTGCAATACCACCAGCACATTCTCTTATTTTGTCAACTGGCACCACCTAGTCAGCAAGTGATCACGTTGGGTGGTGTCCAGACCTTATTCATAGAACCAAGTGTTTTAGGGACTCAGACCTCCCCCTATTTGTAGGACAGAAGAAGCCACAGAGGAAGCCACATTCAGGCAATAAATCCACCCAAATGTAAGTGAGGAAGTCCAGCCTGCCATAGACCTCCTCTAAGGGCACACATTTGAATAATGCCCAGGATGCAGCCATCCCTCTGGTGAAATGTGCTATCACTCTCATAGGAGGAGTGACACCTGAACTGCTACCTGTATATGCCATCTCACTCGCCCTGACCACCCAGAGGACCAGCCTGTTTTGACATCATCTGGCCCAGTGCTGACTCTTTATAGCAGACCAGTAACTGATCTGGGGTGCATTTCCCAAAAGCAACTATGATCGCAAGTTCCATCATTACCAATGGAGTTCAGTGGAACTTGTGACGATAGTTGGCTAATGATGCTATTGGGAAATGCACCTCAGTTTTCCTTAAAGACTGAGTACAGGCTATACACCTCCTCAGAGCCCTGATTGGGCAGTTTAAGTGCAACTGGGCTTCTTCCTCTGTGGTGAAGCATGAAAGGCTTCCAGGAACATAGGTCTTGGCACATATGTGTAATGATTAGGATGTTATGTAGTCCAGCAGGTGGCAGCAATGGATTGTATAAAGTTATGTGCATTTGCTAAGTGGAGCAGTCATAGTAATTTGTGTATGATGGATGTTCCACATGGAATAAAGATGCCAGCACCAGCAATTATTTGCCTTTTCTTTTTATTGTTGTTCTGTTGAATATTACATTGTACCAAGAGTGGGGTAACAAGGACACCATGGACACAATCAAACCACTGGGATTGTTGAAGTTGTGTGGAAATGTTAACACAAACTGGAGGACTTTCAAACAGCATTTTGAGGTGTATGTTGCAGCTACTGGAAAAGTGGATACTGAAATGTTGTACTGCTACTTACCATTGCAGGAGCAGATGACGTGGAGGTCTACAACACCTTTAATTTTGAGGAAAAGGCAGACAATAAGAAACCAGAAAAGGTAAATGGAAAAAAAAATAATGCTCATTGTTTGTCAAAGAAGAATGAGACTTATGAATGAAATGTTTTTAGAACATGAATGCAGCATGAAGGAGAGGCGTTTGATTGCTTTTTTACAGACCTCAAGATAAAGGCAAACACTTGCAGTTTTAATGAACTGAGAGACTTCATGATTCGTGATCATGATATATGTGATAAGAGACTAAGAGAATGACTGATACAGCAAACTGAACTCACCTTGGATTATACTGTTAAATTGTGCCAATCCAGCGAATTAGCGAGACAGCAAGTCATGCAGTTTGATGTGGATAATTCTTCAGTAATGTCAATACAGTAGTAGGTGCCATTTCATTCAGAGACAAGAAACAAGGTAATTCAAGAAGAGGTATTTGGATGATGGAACCCTTTGAGCAATGTAACCAGATCTGGCATCCACAGCTGGTGTGGCCAATTTTGAACTATGAGCGGGACTCTGGCTTGTGATTCTTGAATCTTGACCAGTACTGCTAGCAGAAGTGGAAAAGGAGGAAAGGCATAATAAAGACCCAGAGGCAAATTATATGCTAAGGCATCTACCCCAGTGTTCCCCTTGGGCCTACTGAGTACCATAAGGAACACAGAGTAGTTTCCTGGGAGGCACAAAGCTCAATCTGTGACCTCCTGAACTGGGTCCAGGTGGCTTGCATGATCTCTGGCTGCAGCCGCCATTCTCCTGGTCTGGGTCCTCCCCTTGACAGAATATTGGCTGCCACATTGTTTACCCCTGGAAGATGTTAGACCCTGTGCATGTGCCCATATGAGGAGAGCTCGAACTTAGCCATGGAGAGATAGAGAGTGTGTTCTCCCTTGATGGTTTATGTAAGACACCTCTGTGGAACTCTCTCTGTGCACACTGGTTTATATGAACTTCTGCCCAAGAGGGCTCCTAACCTTGAAACAGGCAATTTCACCATATGGCCCCACAACCGATCTTGGTTGCATCCATCACTATTCTTTCCCTTGACAAATTCTGATCTCAAAGGGCCTTCTGCTGGAGGCCTGGCTTTTAAAACCACCACTTCATGGCTGACATACAGGGATCCATTCGCAAAATTCTCTGACCGCTTTCATGTGCATTCACTTTGCTATTTCTGAACCACTGCTGTAATGGCCACATGTGAAGCAGACTACCCGAGAGGCTGCTGCCATCAAACCAAAAGGCCTCCATCCACACTTCACTGATTTTTAAGATTTTGACATTAAATAGTATATCTTCTCCACAACATCAGAATCATCTGGGGTGTAGACATGCTCTCATAGTCTTTGAGTCCAGAACCAAGCCCAAATACGATACCATTCTGCATGGGGTGAGACAGCTCTTCTCCTCATTCAACATCAGAAATAATCTGTATCGCTCCTCATCTGTATTGTTCCTCGCCTGCTTTTTGGTTGGGGTACATATCAGTCAATCGTCCAAGTAATTCATGATGCAAATTCCCTGACGATGGAGGAAAATAAGTGCTGCATTAATGCACTTTGTACAACTACAAGTAGCTAGAGACAGCCAAAAGGAAAGTTGGGAAAGGGAAGTTGGGACCTCTGCCAAGAGGGACCTGCATTCCACATTTTCATTCAAGACTGTTGGGAAAATATGGTAACATGGGGGCTTTATTCTGAACTGAAGCCTGTACCTGAACCTATGGTATTGATAACCCAAGGGCACTGGGTACACTGGCCCCAGTGAGCAAGATGCTGAGGTATAAAGTGTGACTTTGGAGGTTGACAAGTGTCAGTGTCAAGACCAGCATCCTGACATATGTAATTATGCCTGCTTTGTCGGCTACTGCTGGTGAAAAGAGCAGTGGCTACTTGGCTCAGGTTTGCTAAAGACCAAGGTATGATGTGAACTTCCCCAGCACTGGCTAGATTAGGCTGAATGGCCCGTCCCATTCACCCAGTTTGCCGCACTGCACAAGTTAGTTCCCTTGCCTTGCATGACTGTTCCAGGGTCACTGTCTCTAATGGAGGCAGTGTCAAGTGTACTAAAAGATGTAACAACATAAAAATGTGTTGACTTTCTTTGTGTCGACCTATGACCTTCTGACACTGTCCTTGGCCAAGGTTTTATTAAACTAGTGTAATACCTCTTTGACGGCAGCCAAGATTGGAAATTTTGTTGTGAGGAATTAAAATGGCACAAACATGAAGAAGAGCTGTTGTCCATGACATGACCATTACAATTGTAAAGTATGAATGCACTGTGGAAACTGACATCTGGACCAAAAACTATCGGAAGACACAATACGTTACATAGAAATGACTTCAGGCCCATTCACAAGAAAAATAACAATAACATTAACTATAAAGATAAAGTCCTTAAGATCATTCTACATTTAAGAGAATACTGAGAGTCCACACCATATGGCATAACTATAATATTATAATGAGAATAACTATAATGATAATGATATAACGATAATGACGATAATGATGAAGGAACAATTGGGATCATTGGGATCGCATTGAGAACACTGACAGCTAATCAATCCATATGAATTTAAAGGGCTCACTCATTAAATGGCAGACAACAGAAAAGCACATCGCCGAGATTGGATGGACTCAAAACATAGAATGCTGAGGACATCTGCTGGTTAAAGCCATGTAAATGCAAGAAGACCAGCAAAAAATTAAACTGGTACTGACTCATATGGAAGTGTGAACAAAATTTGTTTTAAAAAAAAAAAAACACTGTCTAAGCAGAGTGACAGATTCTCCCTACTCCTCTCGTTTTCGGAAGGATCTCATATATGGCAAAAGCATCTGTTTTCCTTTGGTGTCTTTGTGAAATGTAAAGCAGTTGTAGGTCATCTACGTCTTTCACAATTCTCGTTCGCTGTGATGGATAAAAC